ATGGCAGAATTTCAATTCAGTAAGGTGTGCCCACGCCTTAAGTAAAATTCACTAATATGATATCCACTCTGTATATCCGGTACACAATTAGTGAAGCTTGTCCAACAACATCGATTGACACGTGTTCGAGTTCAATAATTATTGCGTGTCTTCTCAAATCCTATTTTGGTAAGTCGAATTCTATTTCAATTTCATGAGCATAAAAATGTACGTATTGATTTGAATATAGTATGCACATTATCAGTGTAATATCTCCAACAAATATACAATCACGGTCGTGTTAATTTTCTCTCTAGACACCCCCGCCCACCCAATTGCAAAGATATTTTCTGCCATGACACGCCATCTCTCTCTAGAAAACACAAACACACACTCTAAATACAAAATTTATCTTCCTATAAATACAAATTCTTTGTCTATTTACATATACAAACACAAAGCAACCATAATAAGATCCCTTATTAAGAGGTGGTGATGTGTTAGTGATATAGCGCGATGGACTTGACTTGCGTGGTGATGGTGGTGTGCTGTTGTCGATGGTGAGGTGACAGTAACATTTTGGATACAGATCTACGTGGTGGTGGTAATGTGACAATGGTGCTTTTTGGTGGTGTCGATGGCGATGGGATGATCAAGTAATATGTGATCTAAAAAATGTGTGATTTATGATTAAATTTGTAATCGTGTCAGTGATCGATAAATAGTTTTAACTTTTAACCAATTAATTTGATTATTTGTGACGTGAAATAAGTTGTGGCATATAAAATTTGTGATCGAGAAATAAGTTGTGATCAATTAATTTAATAAATTACGATCGATAAATAAGTTGCGACTTATAAATTTTGTGATTTGTGACTATAACGTTTTGTGATAGTGACTAATATATAATTGTGATCATAATCTGTACAAGATTGTGATATTAATTTATTTAATTACCTAGTTAATTAACAAAATGTATTTAGTATTATATATATATATATATTTATTTATTTATTTTAGGAGCAGCCCCCGCACGAACTTTGAAGTGTAATTCATCTCTTAGCATCCAATTCCATTAATTTAGTTGTTAAATACCAATGTTTTAAAAATCGATCCGAGCATTGATCCGAAAAAGGATAAGGGCCAAAGGTCAAAAGGTTGAATCGATGTCAAATCGGAGTTGAATCGAATGTCGAAATTAAATAAATAAATACACACAAACAATAAAATATAATAACAATTTTTTTAAAAAATTTTGGTGCTGCTAATTCAAAATAAATATGAATTCATTTTTGTCGATTAAATTTATTATCTAATAATTTATTTTAAAACTTCAAAAACTAATCATTAATATGTCCAAAATAATTTGATTTGTTCAATTGAAATTGTTTGTGTTTTGGGGCCATAATTTAAATTCATGTTAATGTATTATAATTTATGTTAACGTAGAATACTGTAAATAATTAAACATTTAACATTTCAATTGGCCAGAGGCCCTATAGTTTTGGCCAGAGGCCTATAGTTTTATCCCACATCGGTTTGTCAAAGTAAACGTGCATGATGATTCTCCTTTAACCATCGATTTTTATATTAATTCGTTGGTCGGACCGTCCAATGGACTCGACTTGGTCGACCGAATTTCAAAAGCTTTCTTTAAAATTTTTGTGTTTAAAAAACAACTTGCAACTTGAACCTCAAAGGAAGATAAGTGGCACTCAACCACTAAAACATTGTAGCTTATTGGTCTTTATTTGCAATAATATGTAAATGTAAAGTATGTTTCATTGACTTTATTTTTCATGGAAAATTTCAATTTCATCAAAATTCCTACTTTTGGAGTGTTTCATTGACAATTTTTTCATGAAAAATATTTTTCAACTTTCAGTAATGGGATCATATTTTGCTCAAAAACAATAAAAACATTCTTCTTTGGTGATGGGTGAATTTTATTTTTCAGGTAATTCACCATCTCTTTATCTCTCCCATCTATATCATCTAATAAAAAATATACAAATATAATATTTTATAGGTTAAAAATTAAATCAATCGAGCACGTTTAATTAATAATTTCTATACAAATATGTTTTATGCAATTGAATTCTCTAAAATTTATTTTCTTTTTATGTAAATTCCATATTCGCAATCAAATGTATCCTTACCGTTTTAAAAATATTTTAATAAAAATTATAGTACTAATTTTAACAAAGATGCATTGAATATTTAACAAAATAATGACAAATAATTTAAAAACTATAATTTTACCTCAAAGAAAAAAAATTATAGTTTAAAATTTGTTTTAGAATTTGAAGCACCGACCCACCAGTTCAACCAGTAACTCGAGACCCAATATCTCGGTCTGGTTGATGTCTGGATTGAATCTAATAACTATGGTCTTAATCCTAAATTCGAATCCACCCAGTCTCATTCCATCTAGGGATGGCAACGGGGCGAGGGTGCCCTCCCCGGCCC